ATACATATTTTGTGACTGACGAGTGTCTCGGTGAAAGGTACGGGCCCAAAATTCTATGGTCGAACAAGCAGCACCCAAAGATGTCGACCAGGATTTTTTATACTTATCGTTATATGCCTCTTTTGCCGTTTTCCCTTTAATCACTCTCTATATACCAATACCAATAAGCCTCTCTTCCACTCGTTCTTCCGTGTCCACCCTTTATTTTCTCTTCTCCTCTTTCAACCAACCCACCCTCCCCTTCTCATCCCTTCGTACACTCTCTTCCAGTCTTTTTCGAGTCTACTCGATTACCGTATACGATCGTTTTACTTCTTTACCTTCTTTTCTTCCTTTCTCCTTATCCTCCTCCCCACCCACCCCCACTCACCCCCACCCACAATCACACTCTCAACCCATATCCATCAACTCTTTGTCTCTCTCTCTCTCTTCTTCTCTCACTTTTTTTTTGTCCTTTCTCCTTCCCTCCTGCTATTTCTATTTCTCTCTTTTTTTTTTTTTTTTTTTTTTTTTTTTTTTTTTTTTTTCTTTTTTTTTTTTTTTTTTTTTTTTTTAATATATTATATAGACGTGTATATTATATTAATCAGCACGCGTTGACGTTCACCAAGAAATGGGCCCGTTTCTCTATTTCCCCGAGCGTGTTCTGTTTTTCATTTTCACTTTTTTATACAATAAAACTTACAATAAAACCAGAGGCTTGACGTCTTCGCCTAGGCAGCAAACAGGACCTATATATATACATATATATATGTATTTATATATATATATATGTATATATGTATATATATATTTTTTTTTTTCCTCGTCCCCGTTTTTTTTATCTCCTTTCATTCTTTTCTTTAGTTATATTCTTCTTCAGTTTTTTTTTTTTCTTCGACCATCACGACGGGGATATGCATACGTTCTCCGCCGAGAGAAGTTCCCGCCGAAGATTAAAAAACCACGAGACGCGACAATACTAAGTCGTGTACTTAACAAAAGATCCATAGAAAAGGATAATATCCTTTTTGTTCTTTTCTTTTTTCTTCTTCTTCTTTTTCTTTTTTTTTTCCTTTTTGTTTTTTTACCTTTCCTTTTTTCTTTTCCCCTTTTATTTTTCTTTTTTCTTTTTTTTTTTCTTTCTTTTTTACTTTTCTTTGCACAATACGCTTCAACCTGGAAAAAAAAAAGAAGAAAATAAAGAAATTTAATAATTCACATCGTTCTCGGTGGATAATACGGTTTTAATATTTAATTTATGATTTTCGTTGATTTTTTAATTTGCCGATTTTTTTCCTAAGCAAACATAACACACACAAACACACACACGTATAAACACAGACATTGACATTTAGGAAGAAGGATTATATTATATTATATAAAAATGAAATATTACATGTAAGAAAGTAAAATGTCGTAGAAAATTTATTTAATCATATATCGAGAATTGCGAAATTCGTTTAAAGAAATGGCGACCGTACTACACAACATCTTCTTAATTTAAAGTCAAGCCGCGATATTTTGTCTATAACTACGACGACTGAATAATTTATTAATTTCAAATCGATTCGACATAAAGCCTGTATCGAAATAGCGACTATACAATGTGCTTCTTAATTTTAAAATCAAATCGAAAATTTTCATATATCAAAATGGCGACCATAGTATCGACGAATTCTCCTACCTTTTTTTCTTCTCTTTCGAATCATTCTGTTTCGAACAAAACAAAAAACAGAAAAGAAAAAAGAAACAAAAAAAAAAGAAATGGAATAATATTCGATATCAGTCGATACGTCATAAATTCAACGAGAGCGATTACTTACATCCTGGTTCTTAATTTTAAATCGTACCGCCGAAAATACATCCATCAAGATATGGCGACCAAAATCAAGAAATACTACTTCTTCATCAGATCATCACGGTGCATGGTGTATGGGTGCGATACAACAATGGAACAAAGATCAATGATAAAACTCGTCGAAAATTCAATGACGACGATACATACGACCGGTGCGCTCTTATTCATTGATTTTAAATCGTAACGCATCTATCAAGATGGCGACTGTTAATATCGACGAATCCTTCCTTTTTTTTTCTTCTTTTTCTTTGTCTTTCTTTCTTGTTTCTTTTTCTTTCTTGCTTTTTTTTCTTTTTTTCTTTTTTCTTTTCTTTTTTTTTTCAATCCTACTCGAAACAACAAAAAGTGATATTAAAATGCGTCGTAATAAATTATTCGGTTAGGTCGACGAGACATTCGTTGTCATCGAAAAGAAAACGATTCGGTGATGTTCGTTCGAGTCCGTAGTAAAACCGAAAGAGCCCGATGCTAAAAGAAAGAGAGAAAGAGAGAGAGAGAGAGAGAGAGACGATTTAGCCTTGATTCAGATTATTTGCGCGGCTCTTTGCACGCCACACATTTTATGAGTGTATAAGCCTGTCCTGTATATGTATATGTGCCTCGATACCATACTCGGACACGTAGAGAGAGAGAGAAAGAAAGAGAGAGAGAGAGAGAGAGGTAACAACACCGTATACACATTAAAATCTTCACGAAGGTTCGCGATTCGTCGTACGGTCAATTTGCTTTCGTCTAAAGCGCGCGAGCGCGCCAGAATCAGTGGTTCTCCATCTTCAAGAGAATTTATACGATCGTACGATAGAACGGAACATCTTAAACTTTTCGAGGAGACGATTTATGTATGTATCTCGTCTCTCTACGAGCATTCTACTTCGAACAGTCTGCCTTGTGTCTCGTCGAAAGAGAATTAGTTTGGTAGAGAAGGGTTAAAGGTTGGACGGCGAGAAGAGAGGCGGGAAAGTGACGGGGAAATAAGCGGGGGAGATAAACGAGGACGATGACTGCCGATGAAAACCGATCTATATACATTTTGAAACGATTAGACGAGATCTTGCATTTAACCTACGTATATATATATATATATATATATATAATTTTGTTTTTTCTTCTTTCTCTTTTCCCTCTATTTTCTGTTAAAACTTTTACTTTGGATTTGAATTGTTCGTATCATCCGTTCGTCGATATAAATATAAATAAAAATCTATCCGCGAGTTTTCAACTTGGAAGATTTAATCTTGGAATAAAAAAGAAAGAAAAGAAGACGAAAAAAAGAACAAAAAAAAAAGGAAGAAGAAGAAAAGAAAAAAATTGCAGGAAAGAATAACATGACGAAAGAAAAAAAGAAAAAAAAAAAAATAAAAGAAAGGAATAAACTTTGGATGATGAGTAGAGAAAAAGAGAATGAAAAGAAAAAAATTGATTGAGAAAGAAATCGCGCGTATGGAAATGGCGTCAGGATTATGATCGGGATATTGATCGAGATATCGGTAGAAATGGATCGACATGTCTATATCGTCTGATGCGTTAGTCGAAGGGGAGAAAAAAAATTTGCTGAAGAAAAGAACTAAAAAAAAAAAAAAGAAAAAAACAAAAAAAGAAAAGAAAAAACTTGATTGATTTTCGTTCGAGCGTGGTTTTGCTAAGACGTGGATAAGAACGAGGGGGTCCGGTTAGAGATCATAATGGAGAATAAATTTCACGGCAATTAGGTGTGTATCATTTAACGTTCGATCGAAGGAAACAAAACGAAACGCGAAAAGAAATAAAAGAAAAAAAAAAAAAGAAAAGGAAGCATTTCTTCGTTCGTAGACGGAATAATAGAAATAAATCGCTAGTTCGAAGTTTACCGCCCCGATAAATCCAATAGAAAGATGCGTGACCCCTTACTTGCTTATATGTGCTTGCTTGTCTTCTTGCTTGTCTTGCTTGCTTGCTTGCTTGCTTGCTTGTGCGCGCTAGCTAACAGAAGAAGAGATAAGAAACGAAGAAAAAGGAAAAGGAGATAAGAGCCTCGAAATAAGCATCCGTCGGAACTCGAGACACTTTACAGTTACAGAAGTGGAAAAAGACTCTTAGGGAGGAACATTTGTCAAGATGTAAACGTGACTAAAATGAAAATATTATCGCCATTTTGGTACCCATTGGTATTTCGATATAATATTTAATATAATTGAATATTATATCTATTATATCTACGTTTGAAAATAAATAAATAAATAGATAAATAAAAAATTAATAATAATAACAGTAAACAAAAAGGAATGCAACAAATTAAATCATAAATTAAATCAATCTTTTCTTTTTTGTGGTATTTTTTTTTTTTTTTTTTTTTTTTTTTTTTATTTTCTTTCTTTCGACGAACAAAATCTTCTTCGTTTTTCCTTTACGATGAATTGATATTTAAAGGAAAAGAAAAAGAAAAAAAAAGAAAAATAAACAAGAAGAAAGATGAACGAAAGTAAAGAAAAATTAGATAAATTTATATGAAACTTGACTTTTATAATCGTGATTATTTGTAATCATGATTATTACGTTCTTCGTTTCCAAAAATCGTTCGATCATATAATGACATTTCGAAATAAAAAAAAAGTGCATTCAAGAATTATTGTACCAAGATGGCGAGATAAGTACAAAGGATTAGAACGATATCTTACTTTCTTTTCTCCCTCTCTATCTCTATCTATATTTATCTATCTCTATCTATCCCTATCTATCTATCTATCTATCTATCCATCTATCTATTCATCCATTTATCTATCTCTTTCTCTTCTTACAAGAGTCTTTCTACTGTAAGACTTGATGCAAGATTACTCTACCACTAGGGTTCGGTTTCGTGGTTATAGGAGACTCGACGAAGAAGCGCGTTTAATGTAGTTATTGCCAAAAATGACGAGGAACGAGTTTACGCGGCTCGCCAATCGTCGCGTACCACCTTAACCAGCCGCACAACGAATCCGGTTAGACCGGTTCGGTGAGACGCGTTAGATTTTCGCGTGATCGCACTTTCGGTTTCTGAATATTGTGTCCTTGAATGGAGTCGAACGACGCGCTACGAAGCTCGATAGTCCATCGTCGGTGATGCAAGAAGAAGAAGAAGAAGAAGAAGAAGAAAAAGAAAAGGATGATGATGATGATGATGATGATGATGATGATAATGATAATGATGATGATGATGATGATGATAATGAAGAAGAAGAAGAAAATAAAGAAGAGAAACGAGAACATACGGCACGATAAAATGACCAAATATTACATAGTATTTGCTTTCTCGAGCAAGTAGAATACGATCGCGTTCGTCTATCAAAAGAAAAAGAAGAAGAAGAAAAAAAGAAAAAAAAAAAGAAAGAAAAAAAAGAAAAAAAAAAAGAAAAAAAAGGGAAAATAATATTCGAATAGACGGACGAACGATAGGTTCTCTTAAATTAGAGGATGAAGAAAGGGAAGAAAAGGAGGAAAAATAATTTTACGAAATTTTAAGAACGACATTTGATAATCGGATATGTAATAATTTGATAGATACAATATTTTGACTGAAATATTTTCAAAAAGAAAACAAAAAAAAAAAAAAAAAAAAAAAGAAGAAAACAAACAAAGAAAAAAAAAAGAAAAAAGTGAGATACATTTTTTTGCACGATTTTTAAAAAACAAATAATTATATATATATATATATATATATATATATATATATATATATATAAGAACAGTGTGTACGGTGCTTAATCGTTGTCATTGATTTGGCGAGTAGCGGACGATGGATCGTCGCTCTTTTCCGACGATCGAGTCGTAGAAGAAAGAAAGAAAGAAAGAAAGAATGAAAAGAAGGTGGGGGAATATGACGAGTGAGAGAAAGAAAGAAAGAACGAAAGAGAGAGAGAGAGAGAGAGATATCTCTTGGACGGGACGAGAACGTTAAGCTTTGCCAAGGAATAGTTGCACGTCCAGCCGCGAAACGTAAGCCGAAGGATAAGAAGAACGAGCGGAGAGGCATCGGTATGGCGCGAAGGATGATGGATCATCGCGCATGCCCGAAAACCCGTTGGGACTCGCGCCGGAGACGAAGAATGTTGTCCGGAGAAAAGAAGAGGATCCAACCAAGGAGAAGTAACACGCTGCGATATCGGCAACGCGCACACCGACACACTAAAAGTATCGTCCACTACTAACATCTTCTATCCGCTATTATAACTTAAAGCCAGATCATCTACTCTCTTTTCTTTCGATCGTCGTACATTCAAAAAAAAAAAGGAAAAAAAAAAAAAAAAAAAAAAATAGCAAACATATATTATACGATCAACAATTATATCGACAATGAGAGATCGAATTTTCATTACTAAATACGACGCAATATATCAATTACTCATGATATATGTATATATATATGTACATATACATATGTATGTATATATAAATTAATTCTAATCGTGTTTAAAGATCAATATCGTCAACATAAAAAATCCTCAGTAATTCCTCACCTGAGATAAATCTTTAACTCGTTCTTATATACGTATCGTATGGAACTTATAAAACGTGTTCGATTGAATTGTATTATTGAAAAAAAAAAAGAAAAAGAAAAAAAAGGAAAGAAAAGAAAAGAAAAGAAAAAAAAAGGAGGCAAAGATCGAAGTATCGAAAGGAGAGAGTGATCTGAGATGAGAATGGTATAATGGAGAAAAGAACAAAAGGAGGAAGAAAAGTGGAAAGAAATTAATAAAAAAAAAAAAAAAAAAAAAAAAAAAAAAGAGAGAAAAAAAAGAAAAAAGAGAGAGAAAGAAAAAGGAGAAAAAGTAAATCAAGAAAAATATTGAAAAGAAGAAGATGAAAAAGATCATAGGTGGAAGCAAAAGATGGATAGATGGACGATAAGATATATATATATATCTCCATGTATACGTTTAGAGTACCTAACATAGGACATACATAGAACATATATATATATATATATATATATATATATATATACACGCATACATAGCAGAGTGCAAAGAAGATAAAAGAAGATAAAAGAAGAGAAGAGAGAAGCTGGCTGGCTGGCTGGCTGGCTGTGGTGGCTCCGAGTCGAGTCGAGTCGGACCGGGCCGAGTAGGGCCCTGTAGTGGGGGCTAACGCCCTTGACTCGACTGGCGGGGGAGTGGGACCGTCGTGCGGCCTTGAGCCGGCTCGTCTCGTTCCACGACAGCGTTTCTCAATCTCTCTCTTTCTCTTGAGATCTACTCCTCCTATGGTGACGTCTCCATGAGATACATCCTCGAATAAGTTTGCTCCTCTCGTCCATGTTCAATGGTCTCTCGACTCATTCCTTTTTCTTTTTCTTTCATTTTTGTTTTAAAGTTTTTTTTTTTTTTTTTTTTGTTGTTGTTTCTTTTTCTTTCCTTCACGAATGAATTACAACGATATTCTCCCAGAATTTGCATTCTTTTAATTTCGAAGAGAGATAGATAGAGAGAGAAAAAGAGAGAAAGGTACGAACGAGGGGAAAAATAAAAGAAAAAGAGAGAGAGAGACAGAGAGAGAGAGAGAGAGAGAGATAAAACGAAAAGAAAATCTCTGAATGAAACGAAAGACATAAAATAACTGTTGCGTTAGGTCAACGTAAAACTCATATCGATAATTTAACGTATATGATGCTGCGAAGAGATCGAAATTCAACAAGAGATAAAGTA